AACTTACCAACTGAGATTGAAAGTGGTGGTAATAGTAATGATCAAATATAGCTTTTATACCTACGGTTCAAAACTACATGTGTCTTCTGAGCTTTTATACGTAATGCTGAACAGTAAACAGTAGCAAATCTGAAAAAATACATTTTAGGGACTAGTTTGTCTTATAACGCCCTGCATGTATCCTTCCATCATGAATGTATTTTAAGGTAGACTGACAAATATGTCTATTTCTGCCATTTTATCTACTGTTTTCTGTTAATAACTCGAATTTCTGATCAGTGTTGTCACTTTTTTATGTGTAAAGAACAAGATCTAAGAAACCTGATCAGTTTGTGTCACCAACTACAGTTTTGAACACATAAAAAGGAATACAGGTGACAATCAGTCACGTTTCACTGCAAAAAATGATATCTTAGTAAGTGAAAACATCTCAAATCTAGTCAATATATCTAATATTTCTCAATATGAGATAATTAAACATATTTCTAGACATTTTACTAGTTTTAGGCAGTTTCATCTAAGTAACATGTATCCCATTAGCAGACCATTTTAATAGTTTCAAGCACTATTTCCTACTATAAGCAAAACGATCCACTTAATTTCATGAAACGTAATATGAGCTGCCAATGGAGCGACACTTTCACTCAATAACATAAGTACAAATGTATAGAAATTGGTTGAATAATCCCATAATGCTCTTACAACAATCTTATATTGAGAAATATTAGATATACTACGTTTAAGATGTTTTGACTTCCTAAGGTATCATTTTTGCGGTGTTTATTGTCGCTGTGGTTAAACAATCAATAATAAGTAATAAGAAGCACCTACTGATCTGAACTATGCTCTGTATGAGCTTGCAAGCATGGAAAAAACAGTGCATCCAACAGTAAAGGAAGGCTGGTGCATCTTTTATACAGTGATAGACAACACAGTACACACAGAAAGCTTCACCTCCACACATTGAAAGTCACAGGGATGTACGTGCGGCCTGGTACCCTGGCCATTAAAACCTTACTGTAAAACAATGTTCCAAGCATCAGGCAGCATAACCATTTTATGCAAGCTTTCTGTGAGGGAGCTTTTAGAAGCATTAAACTCTTCAGACATCACTGTTTCACTTCAAGCCACTCTGAATGACTTTGTTAATGTATCAACTATTGAATTAAGCTGAAATTTAGAAAAAATACCCTGTTAAATCTCCCACATATCATGTGTTTAAGAATCAATGCAGGGAGAAGAGTCCCCAGAGGAACGCGCACACTGTATTAAGTGTCATGTTAAACATCCTTTCCTGCGTGAAACGCTCATCAGCTTGCAGTCCACATACGCGGTATGTCCAAATATGTTTTGCAAACCTGCCTGCCCTCAGCGTAACTGTGACATTTGTCAATTTCAACCCAACAAGGACCAGGGCACAGAGAGAGAGAGAGAGAGAGAGAGAGAGAGAGAGGGACAGACAGAGAACAAATGAACCAAACGCACATGGAGTGCTCAGTGTTAATTGGGGTCTCCTCTATTTTCTTGAGCTTACATGAACGCTCTGACGCTATCGACTGGATAAAAGAACTCGAAGAAACACTTCTCTGCACCTGATTTATGCCGTCAAAGCCGATTATTTCCTAACCTTTCCGGCCCAACAACATTTTCGTACTGCTTCACAAAGGAGGAGAGTCGCTCCAATGAAAATGACCATAATCCTCAAAGTCAGTGACTTTTTTTTATTATCATTATTTTTTTTTCACGTTTTGTAATAGCAGCAGTTCTTTAGACTTCCGTTTGGATTGGAATTTAGCCCACATTGCCAAAGGTAGTTACAGGACATTGCTTAAATGCACAGAAGCTTATAGTACAGCAGTAGCTTTCATGAAACGACGGCTTCCAGTAAAACCACACTGTCACCGGAAATGTTGTTGCATTGTTAATTGGCTTGATCTGCATTTTATCAGACAAATCGAATTGTGCTCTATACCAACGTGACCAGCGTCCATTTGCATTCTTGTCACGTTTATGTCCAGGTGGACATGTCAGCTGTCCCACGTGTTTTGAAGAGTTCATTACATAATGACAAAGACTGCTGTCTTCAGCCGTACAGCTCATATTTCCATTTTCAGCAGCAGGCCTGGTGGTGTTTCAGACCTGCTCAGACCAGAAAAGCTACCCACAATGCAACAAAAGCTAAATAAAACAAACAAAGAAATACATAAATAGACTGCAAAACCCATAAGGACAGACTTAAAAGAAAAACAACACACACTGGCATGTACAGTACTGTGCAAAAGTCAGAAAGCACCCTTTCGTTTATTTAGTTTCCAGACGTTAAGTCCAAGTTATTCATCTTTCAGTGTCAGAAAACATAGAATAAACAGAAAAGTTCTCTTCCAACGCTAAGTATTTCAAATCTGTCAGTATTAAATTTGTCCACTCCTTGCTTTTATGCACTTACAGCCACTTTAACTTTTTTTTTTTTTAGATTTTACAATCTAAAAAGCTCTCATTGCTCTCACTGACATTATGTTCCCTTCATTCACACAAGCCACTACCCAAACACACCTCAGCTGCCTTGCAGTGTGCATCTAGATGGCTCAATGTGATATTTCTGAGGTTGGAAATAAAATAATCCACTGCAACACTTTATTTGGATGGTCCACTGTAGATGCTTTTTAGATGCTCAGTTCATCTTTAACTTTCAACTAAATATCTATTAAATGCAAGTGATTGTGAAGTTGAGTGTGAAGGATTCTATTAAATCTGTCCCCAACACTAAACCTAACCTTGAAAGCAAAACCTACACCTACTCCTAAACCTAACCCTAACCTTAATGGTGTTGATAGTTAACTGAGGATCACCAGAAAGTTTGTTAATGATTTAAGTATCTGTACAGCATCTGTAGAGGTTGGATGAGGTTTCCCAGTCTGGTGTTCTACAAGTGAAAAAAAAAATGAAATTCCTAACAACCACCTGCAAGACCTGGTAGACGACCAAAAACTGTCCCCATCAGATAAACAGCTCTTGCTTCAGATCTGAAAAAATCTACAGGAGTTTCTGTCCATCCTTCCACTGTGAGAAGATACCTCAACACTATGGGTCTGAACGGATGTGCAGCTGTCAACAAGCCGTCGGAAAAAAAAGAAAAACATTTACACAAGGCCGAAACTGCAGATCTAAGATGGGGAGATTTTATGCACTGATGAAATATCTAATTAGGATTACTTGGATGGTGAGAAGCAGAAAATGCAACCAACTTCTAAGACTGAACTTTGGAAAAATATTCTTTGGAAAACTGAAACTGAGTTTCTTGAAAAGAATGGAAAGGCAAAGAGTGGACACCCTAAATACTCAACAATTTGACATGTAGTGGTAGCTTCTGTGTAATTTCCTGCTAAATATATCATCACTGTCCAAAAAAAACTGACGTATCTCTTTTCTATTTTTATTTTTCTCCATCGTTTGAGCTCAGCAGCTGTCCTTTACACTGTGTGCACATTTCATGATGAATGGAGCAACAGAAAAGCTCCAAAACTGCATGGAATTAAATCTCTTTACATTAACCTACATTAAAAGTAACCAATGTTTTTGCCTCCTGTAAAGTTGCCATTTTGGAGATACTGTGTTTTTGGACAGCGGTGATGTTTCCTGCTGCTGAAAAATGAACAGCTTGTGCTTGTTGGTTGTTTAGACTGGAAATCCTATAAATAAAAGGGTGGTCTCTGAGTTTCGCACTGGACTAAATATTTACAAAAGTAAACACCATGGCTTTGTTAATGTACACTACTGTGCAAAGGTATGGCGTTAGCTTTTGTAAATATAACAAAAACTCAAAAGCTCATAATGTACACGAGCATGTACACACACACACTCACCACCCTGCAGCCTACACGTCTCTCACACACACAGATACCGCAGGCCTAATGGCTTTTTCGTTACAATCATTAGAATAAACTAGTAGAACTAGTAGAATTGCCTCACCACCCGGGGCCGTCTGGAGTGGGGCAGATTTACCCCTGCACATTACAATTGTAGGCTAATTTAGATTTCTTTAATGGGGATTCCCACTCAGACCAATGTTCTTCCTTCTCGTATATGCAGGAAAAAAAAGAACATCAAACCTCATCTGAGACTTTGTGCCTCTTTGATGAGACTTTATAGGCCACTCTTGAGACGTTATGCTCAGAATTAGGCTCCATGGTTCATATAGCCCAGTCCACGAACGCTGGGATATGAAGGGCTTCAAATGGAAACGTTCTTTAAAATGCATGGCTGACAAGTCTAACTGCCTATATAGGCAAGTTTTAGCTTATTGGTTATTGATTTGTTCGGCTTGGAAAAGACATTCGGATTCGCGATGGGTCTCCACAGTCTAATGATGTCTCCAGTGCAAGTATTTTTGTCCCCGCTGTGACCGTTCATCATCTCAAAAACGGTTCCAACCAAGCTTAGCGTATCCATCTTTTCATGATGTGCTTTAAGCATATTACATATTTTTTCCTCCCACGGATGGACGGCGCTTCAAAAAGCCTCGCAATGACTCGCAGTGCTGTTTTTGTCCTCGGTGCAACCATTTCTCATGAGGTTCCTCTCTCAAAAAAGGTTTCAAAACCTTAACACAGGCCAGCCGTATCCATCCCCTCGTGATGGAGCACGAAGTTACATGTGTTTCCCTCCACAGATGGACATCGTTTTAATGTTTTTGTCCTCGGCGTGACCATTTCTCATGAGGTTCCTGTGTCAAAAATGGTTTCAAAACCTTCACATAGGCCAGACGTATCCACCTTCTTGTGATGGAGCAAGAAGTTACACGTGTTTCCCTCCACAGATGGACGTTGTTTTAATGAGAAGACTCGGAGTGTGCCAGTTTTGTCCTCGGTGCGACCATTTCTCATGAGGTTCCTGTCTTAAAAAAGGTTTCAAAACCTTCGCGCAGGCCAGCCGTATCCATATTCCCGTGATGGAGCACCATGTTACATGTTTTTTCCCTCAACAGATGGATGTTGCTTTAATGAAAAGAGTGTGCCACTTTTGTCTTTGGCGTGACCATTTCTCAAAAACGGCTTCATGCAGGCCGATCAAATCCATCTTCTCACGATGGAGTCCTGCTGACCCTTCCTATGTTGTTCTTGATGGACAAGGCCCGCCAGCTCAAGACCTGAAGCAGTTGAAGCGGATGAGCTTGTGGAAGGCCTGCTTGAAGTCTTCGTTGGACATGGTGTAGATGATGGGGTTTATGAGCGAGTTCAGGTAGCCTAGCCAGGTGAAGACGTCGAAGAGCTCCGGGTAGAAAGTGCAGGTGGTACAGATGGGCACCAGCAGTGTGTAGATGAAGAAGGGCAGCCAGCACATGATGTAGGCACCCAGGATCACGCCCAGCGTCTTGGTGGCCTTCCTCTCACGGGCAGCGGAGATCCTCTTCTTCTCCAGGAGCGCGTCGGACACGGTCACCTTCACCTGGTTGTTGGCCACGGGCATGGTGTCGGACGAGGACGCCTCGTGTGTGCCGTAGTTGAGCGAGGTGGTGGAGGCCACCGATCCCGGAGAGCCGCTGATGAGGCGGGCTGACGTGAGCCTCTTGCCCACACGCTTGGGCGACTGCTTGAGGATCCTTTTGCGCGCCTCGGCGTAGATGCGCCCGTAGAGCGCGATGAGCAGCAGCGTGGGAATGTAGAAGGCGCCAAACGTGGAGTAGATGGTGTAGAACACGTGGTCCGTGTTGACGTTGCAGGTGGTCACCTCGTCCTCAGCGCGCACCTGCTGCCAGAAGAAGGGCGGCAGCGAGATGGACACGGCGATAACCCATGCGGCAGCGATCATTGCGGCGGCACGCGAAATGGTGCGCCGCTTGGAGTAGCCCACGGCGTCCGTGATGGCCCAGTAGCGGTCCAGCGCGATCACGCACAGGTGCAGGATGGACGCCGTGCAGCACGTGACGTCTGAGGAGAGCCACAGGTCGCAGAGCACGCGGCCGAGGGTCCACACGCGCCGCACCGTGTACACGATGCTCACGGGCATGACGAGCACGGACACCAGGAGGTCGGTGAAGGCTAGAGAGCCGATCAGCACGTTGGCCGGCGTGTGCAGCTTGCGCGAGCGCGCGATCGTCGCCACCACGAAGGCGTTGGAGAGCGCCGTGGCGCACGTGAGCAGCGAGAGCAGCGTGGCCACGAGCGCCTGCACGAGCGCCGGCGCGGCGCCGCTCGCGTCTCCGGGCGCGCGCGTGTGGTTGGAGACGGTGTGGTTGGACGAGATGTTCAGGGGCTCTCCGTACACCGCGGCGGTGGGTTTGAGCTCCATGGCGCGCGGCTCTCTACGCCTCTACGCGACGCGCGCGCGGACTTTTTTTTGCTTATCTTTTATCTTAAGAGCGCTCGCTCTGCCCTCGGCGCCTCTTTCGTGTCATCTTGTCCCCGCGGGCAACGAAACGTGGCCCGCGCTCTCGGCGCAACGCAGGAGCATCAACGAAAAGCCAGCAGAAGACGGAGTGTCAGCGTGGTTCCGAGCCGCGCGCCTCAACGCTCCCTCCGCATGTCACTGAGAACACTCCGAGGAGCTCGCGCCCCGACTGGAGACGCGGACCGAAGCGCATTTATATCCCATCATCGTCGCCTCTTTATCGCTCCGCCGTGCGTAAAAGAGCCATCGGGGCGCCTTGAAGCGAGCAGGTGTGGGGGAAACCCTGCGGAGCAGCGCGCGCTCTTCTCTCCCCGTCCGTCTTTAATCCCATCAGGTCTGGTAAAGGAGGCTGAGCGGCGTCACTGCCGCTCCCGCTGCTTCACAACCCGCTTCTGAACTTCATATGACGCTGCCGGAGCCTCGCGCTCGCCTTTATGCGCTCCGCGCGCTCGGGGAGACGCGCGCTGGGGGCGCTGTGGTCCCAGACTTCATCATCCACCGGGTCATAATGCCCTGGGGTTTGGTCAACAGGTTGGAAAAAATCAAAGCAAAACTGTCAGCAAAGTCGCCGGAAAACTCTTAAACACCACAGAACACTGACACAAATTAGAGCTCAGCGAAAACGCCGTCATTTAACGTCAACAGTGTACTCAACAGTCAGTTACACCAATGAGCCTGTGCTCACTGGTGGGTATAGGAGTCATATCTGAGTTTACTCTCATATGATCACACACACACACACACACACACACACACATATATATATATATATATATATATATATATATATGTTTCTGTTTCTGTTGATTTTGTAAGTGAAAGTATGTTAACACATCCTCTACAGTGAAAACACTTAAATATGGATTTTCTGCCAATTTTAGTGCACAATTTCTGTTTGTTTGCTGGATGTTAGTAATTGTGCATTAAAATGAGTGTTTTCTCTATAAAGGATGTGTTACTTATTTTCACTTAGAAAATTAACAAAACATGTCATTTGACCAGAAGTGCCCAAACTTTTCCATACAACTGTATACACATATATTTTGTATATTATATACTATATATAATTTGCTGTTAATGTACACTGTTAGAAATAAAGGTTCTGTGCACGTACATTTTTTGTTCATCAAGGTACAGGCAATGTAAATGTGCCCTAAAAGGTACAACAGTGGTTTTAAGGTCCAATGTTGTACTTTAAATACGTTTTTCCTGGTGAAAAGTACATATTTGTACCTTTTTATAACCACATGTTCTAAAACAGAACAATAAAATAAAAAGTCTGGAGATGAGACGGAGTGTGTGGAGTCAATACAACTTAGAAAATACAATTTCAGTTCAATTATGTTCCCTGACTAAAGGTACTTAGATGTACCCTTGAGGGCACCACCCCAGTGACAAGAGGGGAACTGCCCCAGTGACAGTTTAGTACCTTAGTATATTAAAACAACTAGAAAGCAGCACCATACTATACCACTGTTGATATTAACGTTACATTACAATTCAAGTTGTTTTTATCTCTAATCTTTAGGCCGTTTGATGAGGTCGCAAGAAAAAAGTAACAAACTATTTATGAATTAAAATGGTTTTTGATTGCATTGTCTTTTTGAAAAGATTTAACTTTTATGTGACATTAACTTATATTAATATGTTATATTAAGACAACACTTCACTAATTAGAGGAAAACCATTGTTTATAGGGAATTGTGATGTTTTAATGCAAGCTAAAAATGAAAAATAAATGGTTATAGTGACTTGGGTTTATTTGTCTTATTATTGTTCTTCAATAAAAGGCAACAGTTAAATAAATGAAAGATCCCTTAATTTTAAGAACTGAATTGATTCAAAAATCTGGTTCAGTCTATTTTCTTTACTGTATTCACTGAACTTACAGCCTCACAACATTGTGCCAACCAACTCCAAGCTGGACAAGTGCACAAATATTGTCTGACACTGAAAGAGTGTATTTGTAGCTGAGATGTCCAGCTTTCATTTGCTGCTGCTTGGGTTGTCCTAATGTACAGTATGGCTGGGATATAAGAGGCTGAAAACTCATCCACTTAATCAGCTCCATTTACCATATAGGTGCACTTTGTGGTTCTACAATTAGTCCATCTGTTTCTCTGCATACTTTGTTAGCCCCCTTTTACCCTGTTCTTCAGTTGTCAGAACACTGTGTCCATTCACTGTCCACTCTATTAGACACCTTTGTTGGTCCACCTTGTCAGAGACAGTAGCTCATCTGTTGCCTCACAGTTTGTGTTGGTCATCCTCTAGTCCTTCATCAGTGGTCACATGACGCTGTTGGCTGGATATTTTTTGGTTGGTGGACTATTCTCAGTCCAGCAGTGACACTGAGGTGTTTAAACTCCAGCAGCACTGCTGTGTCTGATCCATTCACGCCAGCACAACACACACTAACACACTAACATACAGTCAGTATCACTGTAGTGCTGAGAATAATCCACCACCCAGATAATACCTGCTCTGTGGTGGTCCTGTAAATGGGTCAGTAATTGTACCTACAGAGTGGGGTGGTTTTAATGTTATTGCTGATTGATTTATCTCTTGTGAAAGCCTTCAACTAGAGCGAGCCATTAGTTCAGATATTGATTTCATATTCAGTCAACTAATGATTTACAAGGCAGTATTTATGGATCATTGTAAAAGACACTTCCTTCACCTGATTTGTAAGAAAGACCTTTCGTGGCAGAAGCTGTTGCAGTACAGTGTGTGGTCAATGGTGCGTTTTTATGCACTGTATTTCTTCAGCACCCTGGACAGTTCCTGCCCTGCAGTCCACTTCAGCAGTCTTTTCCAGTGCAGGCATCAGGGCCCTCATCCACTCCAACACTTCAGCAGTGTTCCAGCTCCTAACACACCTGATCCAGGTAATCAGCACTCTACAGCCCTTAATTACTAATCTCTAGTGTGCTCGGCTGGACCACTGTGAGTGATAACGTGCAACGGAATCGCTGTCCAAACACGCCAGCAGCTTTAAAGGAGCATCTGCTTCTCACGATAAGAGCAAAAGACGACGCTCAAAAGTTTGGAGTAGTTTGTCTCTAAATCATCGCCTCTCTTTGGAGCCCAGCTTAACTTTAACTTTCTTTTCTGGTCCTAAATGTTATTATTGTGAACTGTGGTGAGGTAAATTAGGCAAATGTGCACATGAAGTTTACATCATTATGCAGAGAGAAGTATTTACATTTCTCAGTGACAAAATTACACTGCTCTTGAAGTGGAATTCCACCAATTTTTCAAATTTTCTGACTAATTCAGTCTGTGAGATAGTGACAGAGTCACTCAGAGCGATTTGATGTGAAGTGGCACATTGTAGAACTTACAGACTGTGATTTCTTTACAGTGGTGGTGATAGGAACCAGGGGTTGCCATGTCTACAACACAGATATATCCATTTTATTTACTATCCAAAACCACCAGTGAACCTGCACGTGTCTTCTGAATCTTTATATGTAATGTTAATAATGGTGAAATAGTGATGAATCTGAACAATACGTTTTTTGGGGACTATTTTGCCTCACAGCTTGTACCTCTCTGCAATGAATGGATAAAAAAATGGATTAATATACATTTTAGACAAAAGTTCTAGTCACAAAACAATGAGTCAGACATCAGGCAGCGCATATCTAACCACTTCATGTAATACCTTTCTCTGAGAAAGCTTTAAGAGGCATCAAACTTAACAGACGTCTGGTTCCTACCACGTTTCAAGTGTCTCTAGAACAGAGCACTTCACACCAAAACCACGGGATGACTTACATCTTAACCATTTAATTAAGTCGAATTTTTTGAAAAATCGGTGGAGTTCCCCTTTAACCCATTGTTATCTTTCAGCATCTTTATTTAGTGTGATGAAAAATGCAGCAGAACGTGTTTTGATTGGACAAAGTTGAACTTTCAACAGGATCTTTCGAAATGTATTTACACCGTTTTCTTACTTTTTATTCAGAATTTGGATCTTCTGTTTGTTTGTGAATAAAGACTAGATTTAATACGACACATTAAGCCATAAAAGCTCACTCTTTAGCCAAACAGCTTGACTGATTTGAAAATCTCCCTCAGATTTGTGCTCAGCCAGGCTCAGAGAACAAACAGACCAACTGAAATGGCTGAATCTCAAATCGCTCCCTACGCCCTACGTAGTGCACTACGTAGGTTTTAAAATAACGGCTCGTTCACCCAAACAGTACATAATACGTCTGGCAAAGACACAAGTGCACTACATAGGTAGTTGAAGTCATTTGAGACTCAGCCAATTAAAACAAACGTTAACGAGTTAAACGGGAAACACGGGGTGATGTGCCGAGAAAATCATCAACGCTACTGCAGTCATAATTCTATGTAAATCAACCATTATAAGCCAGTTAACCACATTTAAAGTTATTATTCCAGAGCAGCTGAATGTTATCTTGTTCCTCTTTCTACGAGGCTGAATTATTCGCCCATTTCTTTTTCGAATTTTCCGTTCCACCTTAAATGATAAAGCAGTGACCTAAGCGGTGCACAGGCACAAGAATGCAACTGCAGCACTTTTTAAGGTGGAACGGAAAATGTAAATAAGAAGCACGCAAAAAAATGCCAACTTCAGCTACGTTATTTTCCACAGCTTTCTGTGAAAAATTTTGTTTACTATTTTGTTTTCGTTCTTTGTACATTTCTAAATCCTTTTGTAGCAGCTCTAGAAAAGGAAATGAAGGTTTTGATTGTCTTAAAGCTGGTAAACAAACTCGCCATACTCAAACTCAACTAAAGTGAAGAGTCGACTCCAACTATTTCGACTCTTGTCCGGAGTCACTGGCCAAGAGTGAGGCCTGACTACTAGACCTGCTGGAATCGAAGAATCGACTCTTTTGGAATCGACTCCACATCACTAAGCCCGCGCGTTGTGCGCGTGCCCGCACTCGATAGCGGCGCTGTTTGCTGTTTGAGATCCATGAACTCGTTCAGTGCGGTTTTAATCCGTCTGTAAAAGTCATGAGTTGTAGCGTCTCTTTTGATGTGACCTAATTAATGCGTCTGCGACTGACCAGAATGGAAGACAACATAGACGGGGCTGATCGGAAAATGTCAAGCTGTGGAAATGAAGGTAGTTAGGTTAGCTAACGTGCTAACTTTCGCGCTCTAACTCAGGTTAATGTTCGCTCGGTAGCTGCTAATAGAGTTAAGTAGGCTAGTTAAGCTAATAGACAAACGTTTGGTCATCGCAGCGCTAAAATGTCGGCCGCTTCAGTTTAATTTAAATACTGTTATTGATGTACACTTCACTTTGGCATGCAAGCTTGCTAACTTAACCATTTTAGTTAACTTAGTCATAAAGCAGTAAGAGGGTTTTCCCCTAAACCAAATGTGAGCAATAAACTAGCTGAATAAGACTTAACGTTAAAGGGGAGCTACACCAGTTTTTCAAAATTTCTGCATAATTGCACCAAAAAAGCTGTAAAGAAAGTCATTCAAAGCGGTTTCATGTGAAATGCTCCGTTCTAGAGAACAAGACGTTTGAAGAGTTTATTGCCTCTAAAATCTCTCTCACAGGAAATTTTTACAGAATGGATTATGAATACCTTGCATGTTGCCAAAGACGTTGTTTTACGGTAGTTTTGTGATAAGGTTTTGGCCTAAAGCGTCTTGTTAATCCGTTCATTTTAATCCATTCATGGCGGAGGGGTACATGCAGAGAATTATAAGGCACAATAGTCCCCAAAGAGCACTTATCATTTTCAGATCATCATCAACATTACACATAAAACTCAGAGGACACGTGTAGGTTCACGGGTGGTTTTGGATAGTAAATAAAATGGCTGTATTTGTGTTGTTGACACTGTGACCTCTGGTTCCTGTCACCACCACTGGGAATCTGAGTCTATAATTTTCTCTACAACATAATTTTACATCAGACCACTCTGAATGACACTACAATGGTGGAGTTCTGCCAAAAATTTGAAAATTGATGGAATTCCCCTTTATCAGACCGATATCATGAAAAAACTGAATTTCCTTCCCTTTTTTGAAATGAGAACTTGATGTAAAATGTTAACATTGTTAAAGTTTCAAAAACGTACCGTTCGTTCCCCAGTCCATACCGTAGATATGTGGAAACTAAGCTGCACAAACAGCTTGCTTTGAAAACGTTTTTTGTTATGTGATGAAAATCAACATGTATATAAATATATATCCACCAATCAGCCTACAGCAGTTTAGCTCCGCCCACTCACATTGAAGTTATAAGGGGTCCTGCAGGCTGGACTGCTTTTTAAATGAGGCACATTACAGTACAGCCACTCAGAACAGAGGTCATTTATATACATGTCTCTTAAAGGTACAGTAACCTAAAAGGCCTGTTTAATTCTAATGGACAGAGAGAAAATGGAAATATGTATTTTTGCATCTGATAAGTGGGAATAGATGAAGTAGAGCCACATTTAAAAATACAATAAAAACTATTATTTTAGTTATTTATAATTAACATTTCACACACTGCCCTGCTTTAAATTCAATTAAACAGGGCTAATTAAGCAATTAAGCTGTCTTTTTAATCAAACAAGCAGCTGGAAAGTGTCTTTAAGTACTGATGATATCCACAATATGCCTAGACAAGCATATCGTGACATATTTTGGTGTAATTTAATCAACATATTGATAAATATTGTCATATTGCTCAGCTGTAGCCAAAAAGTGTTGACTGACCACAAATCCTCATACTCCTCATAGAGGCATTTATAAAACAGTAAAATATCTGTATTTTAGCATTAATACTTTAGCACAGAAATACTTCTGGGAATGTCTAAATGGCTTTTGTCGTGTAACAGAAACCTAAATTTGTACTTTATAACAACCAACCTCTCAGTAATCTGAGGGATAGGATATAGCTAGGGCCGCTAACCATCATGAGTTCCAATATGCTAGCTAAAGCTAAGTTTTAATCAAATAATATGATTTTTTTGCTTCCATTGGTACATAATGACTAGTGTAAACTCAATTAAAATCAAACTTCCATTTGTAGATTATATATAAAGTTTATAACAACCAAACTCTCAGTAACGAAACAGGGGAAGCTGACTAGCACTGCTAACCAGTCCATCGTGAGTTCCAATATGCTAGCTAAAGCTTAGTTTTAGCCAAATAATATGATTCTTTTGCTTCCATTGGTACATAATGACTAGTAGGGGTGCAGGAAAAAATCGATTCTTAGATGCATCGCGATGCGGATGTGAACGATTCTGAATCGATTCATAAATGTCAAAAATCGATTTTCTAAATATTTAATTTATACCGTAACGTTGACGGAACCTAAAAAGCGGAACTTGGACGTGGGAAAGTGCAGCGCCCGGACGCTCTTCCCGGGGGGCACATAACAAAAACACACATGGATGAGTGGGAAATCCGACCGGCTGCATTAAAAGCCAGGTTCAGTCAGGAGTCACAACTCAAATGATAAGAAGAGCCATTTTGTCCTTTCAACAAAAATCAAACCACCTTGGGAGCCACAACATTTAATGTCCAGTGTGTCTCAGTATGTGATAATGTCCTAGCATAGACTAAACAATATAAACGAAAACACAGATTTACTTCGCTTTGCTTTAAGCTTTAGCTTAGCTATAGCCACTTTCCTCCCATCTCCGCCAGAAAACTTTCCTCAAACGTAGATCAGCTTATTGTAAATGTCTCTCAGCCTTCGGCTGTTTTACGAGGCTGAAGTTGCTTCTCATTTTCCAGCTTCTTGTTCTAATTTTCCTGTTCCACCTTAAATTCTGCCTGAGGCGCCAAATGTAGGTGCTGCACCGCAAGAGAAGCGACTTCATCTTCACAACTTTTTAGTGTTTGACAGTCTCTCATTGCAGATTTAACGCTCTAGGAAACTGCGCCGCTTATAAATTGGAATATGTTCATTCATCTCCAAATGTTCGTCTTAGCTAAATCTCTCTTTGGCTTTTCGTAGCTACTAGCGAGGCGAGACTTCGCTGCTAAGTGACCTGCAGTCTGCACGTCATTTAGAACCAGGGTTTTAGCGCTATGTTGCACACTTTGGAGCCGAGATTCAGAGTCCAGTCTCGAAGAAATTTTACTGACACAGTGACCCCCCCTCGCATTGCTGATGATACGCTATCTAAAGCTAACATATAGCCAAATAATGTGATTCATTTTCCCCTGTAATACATAACTGCTCTTTGAAACTCGTTAAATAATCAGACATCTATAGGAATAAGATAGGTACAGACTCCCTGTGTGTTTTTCTGCACATTTTTACCTCAGGAAAGGCAGTGTGGTATATCAGGACTGCTAAGCTTGCTGTGGCAGTCGCCATAATTAAAAGCAAGCCTGCTGGCAGGAGTGGAAGACAGCATGCAGAAAGTCTGGCCGCCAAACTCAAGCAGCAAGACGAAGCTTGGAAAGCCAGAGCTCAAGACCTCAAGGAAGAAGTGTTAAGACTTAGACAAGAACTTTTGCTCACGAAGTTGCTGTCAAACCCAAGAAATGCTGCTGAGGATGGACGCGGTGAGTGATTCTTAGCTTTATTTGATGTGGGTAGTGTCTTAATTACATTGACTCAGGTACGTTGTAGGTGTGCTTTTCTGAGTATTTTCAAATGGTACTTCTACGCAGGTACTTTTTAGTCCCTGATTACTTTTTTTTGGTTATTTGATTCTGTATTTTTGGTTCTGCACCTGGACTGCTTTGCTGTTGCTTATGTCTCTTACTTTGGAGCTTTAGCGTTATATTTTAGACCTTAAGGATTCCAAAAAAGAGATGAACACCACTTAAAAGCATCTAATTGTATTTCTTATGCTGACTATTAAACGTCAGTGGCTGTGCATTTTGTATTTCCAGTAACACATTTTATTGACAAATGGAGTGACCGCTTCTGGTAATCTAACAATATTTTCTCTTGGAACTGTTTCTGATGTTCTTGGTATATTTTTCAGTGAATGAAAGTAAGTAAATGTGAGTAATTCAGAAGGAGAAAGTATGGATTGATTTTTTTTATTCTAGTGGTTTAAAATGATTCCCTTTTCCACAAAGCTACCTGGCACAAAACACTTCTAATCCAAAATCGAACATTTTAGAGAGCATCTCACTGGATGGGCCCCAGCACATAAACAGGCCTTCAATTCGCAAAAAGACAATGTAATCCACATTTTACCTCCTTTTACTGTCAGTCGCCAATCGCCTGATCGCGACCACAGTTATTTTCCCACAGTTGTTAGCTTTCACAATCATATGTGTACGTTGCTATAAAATAGAACATTAATTGGGTCTTTTTTGGGTTGAAGCAAACCCCCAACCCCAACAAATGATGATAAAACACATGCAGTCCGATTTTACTGGTCAAAGTAAGTCACGTGTCCAGTAATCTGATTTAAATCACATCCGAAACTACATACAGTTGTGGCATTATTCTGATTTTTTGCCATTCAAACTACAGAAAATCCTTTCTGCTTAAATCAGATATGCAGAAAACTTGTGTTAGAGCTGCCGGTCTGAACAAAGCCAAGTTATCAGGGGGAAAGAACCAAGATATCTAATCAGCTAATTTGGCCACTTGAGGCTTGCACTTTAATAGTTGCATGCAATGAAAACCAAAACAATTATATTGTTAATCGTTTTTAATATGGCAGTTAACTGTCAGCTAAATTTCATGATCATGACAGGCCTAGTTTGATGTTTATTATTATGTTATCATAGCTACCCATGAGTCTTGGGTATAAAATTGCACCATTAGGGACATAAGGGGTCCAATAATGACGTTGGGGTCCAGTCGACAATACTGTTTGTTATGCCAGTGAGCTTTAGGATAAGATCTTGAAGAGTTTATTTCTTTTTTCATTTATGCATGTATGACTACAGTTTTAAGGGCACGTCTTGAGGTCGACCCCTCCTGACATGCTCATATAAATGAACAGAAAAGTGAATGATCACCTGTTTTTCATACAGGTGATGACGTGACAAGGCTTCTGTCCCAGGACCTCACAGACCCACAGTTCTCTGAGAGCGACTCTGGCTGCGAGACTAGCAACAACACACAGACTCTGCTTCAAACGCCTGACCTTGTGGACACACAGGACCCGTGCCACTCATCCACCATCCTTACATCCTCTGCTCATCCCAGTCGTGTCACTTTCCCTCACCAGAGAGCATCCCTGGAGCATGCCCTATCCAAGCGCACACAGTTCCTGCAGCACCTGTGTGGGCTGCGCAGATTGGCAGGCCCTGCTCTGGCAGAGGAGGGAGATTTGGTGTGGGACTCGGTACTCCATCTGCTCAGCTCTGTAATTGAGGCCTACAAAGAGGCCAGCGGGGGCAGAGTCACCCCACAGCCGGCTTTACTCTTGCAGGCTTCCCAGGTGGCCGCACAGGCTGTGGAGCAAGGAGATGTCCACTGGAGACCTTCTGCGCTGTGCTTGGGACAAGTGGAGGACTCGTTGAAGGAGATGCTTGACCTGCTGCTCAGCAACAGTCAGCTCAATAAGGTAAGAGAAGCTCAGAGAAAAACATTTCGTTTAATGAAGTCCATTAATCTGCTACACTAAATCACTGCCTGGCTCTGTTGCTTTTGAAGTGCAGCCAACTAGTTTAGTCCTTAAGATTCCTCAGTGTCTCGCACTCACTGCTTTCTAGGAAACGAAGTGGGTTTTGTTTTGATGACCGTTGTATCTCATACAGCTCAGGGGTCGACATTGCCTATTGCCTGGTACAACTCTGGCTGAGTGGCCACTTTTTTTTTGCTTTTTAATTTTTTTTTCTTTTCTTTTTTCCCATTTGACAAACCACCAAAACACTCGAATTTTCACGTGTTCACAAATACAAATACACACGTGTTCACAAATACACAAATAAATCTACAACAAAACAACTACTTTTCACTTGGCCTGAGTGATATACTATAATAATTAGACCAATATTTTCTTGTTAAAAGCACGTGGTCCACAGCACTTATTACAGGGTTTGACATTTAGGTTTTTCTCTCATCCGATGGACAAGTAAATACACATTTAATTAGCTCAAAGGCCGTAATCTCTTGTCCACAGATGAAAGATCAAAAACAGCATTTGCAAATAACCACTGTGTTACATAAGTTTGTTACATTTTTTACAATTAGGACTGAACATTTTTTTTGGATGAGAAAAGAGAGGGAGAGAAAATAGTTCAGGCCACCATTTCTTTTGGCTCTTCTAATTGATGAGAGAGAGCCTCAGTCAGTGTTATTCTCTGTCTCTCCCCCCTTTCTCACTCTCTCTCTCTGTGTGTCTCTCTCTCTCTCTCTCTCTCTCTTTCTCCCTTTCTCCCTTTCTCCCCTTTCTCTCTCTCTCACACTCACAAACACAAGAAAACATTTCCTCTCTTTCTCCTTTCACTCGTTTACAAGTTAACACGATTTTCTAAGTTAAATCAGCTAGCGCTATGTGATCAGCTGGAGTGCTAAGTGGAATACAACTCATTCAATTAAAGACACTTAAAGGGAAACTCCATTGATTTTTCAAAAATTTTATGTAATTAAATGGTTGAGATGTAATCAAAGTAATTCAGAGTGGGTTGTTCTGAAATGCTCCGTTCTAGAGGAACAGCGAGTCTGAATTGATCACAGTGGTTATAGGAACCAGATGTCCACCTCTAAAAGCTCCCTCACAGAAAGCTATTACAGGAAATGTTTAGATATATGCTATCTGATGTCAGACACGTTGTTTTATGACAGTTTTTTAAAAGAAGTTTTGGCTTAAAATGTGTTTGAATACATTTTTTAATCCATTCATGGTGGAGAGGGCATTTTTTCAGATTTATGCCTTTTTTTTTACATTTATCAACATATAAAACCCAGAGGACATGTAAATTCACTGGTGGTTTTGGATAGTAAATAAAATGGCTATATTCATGTGACAACAAGATGGGTTGTTTTGGTGGCCTGAGAGGCCAGTTCAAATGTTTATGTCGGTCTATCATTGACCCGGGGACCTGTCTCTTTAAGTTTAGCATGCTTTGCTTATCTCTGACACTTTGAAATTGTCCATCGTCATCTCCATTTTCACACATTCTCATTCCCTGTCAGTGCCGATGACCATAATGATTTCACTGACCTGAGAGCTAGATGACCTTCACCATATTATATCACAGTAAATCACTTTGCTGGCACATTCAGTCGTGCTCCAAGGGCCGGACTACGTGAATGGACCTGTGTAAAATTAAAGAAAACGCACGCTACTGTGTCCAGCTCTGAAAACATGAGCTACTGGGTCCAGTGGTGCAAGATGATTTTCTAGCTCGGTAGCTCTTTCTACCGTTCCATACATGCGACTTTGAATTGAACTGACAGTCACTATGACAAGAAACATGGACAGTAATCTATATTCCTTTCATTCCTGGCACTTGTTTTGCACAAGCTTGACTGCTGCGCATTGCAACTGTAGTTACATAGAAGTTTTCAGTGTGCACCTTATTGAAGTCTGTGTAACCGTTAATCTTTATTCACATTTCACAGTCTGGGGACTGACTATAAAAGCCCTCAGCAAAGTGAGTATCCCATATAGCCATGTCTCTCGCTTTGCAAGGTTGAAGTTTGTTTCTTTTCATACTTTGTGTCTACTCATACTTTATTTGCTTCGTTTTATGGCATGTGGCAATCTGTAACACGGTATACATATATACACCAAAACATTAAAACCACCCCTACTTGTATCTACATTCATTGTCCATTTTATTGGCTCTACTTACCATATAGATGCATTTTAGTTTTACAATTACAGACTGTAGTTCACCTGTTTCTTTGCATACTTTGTTTGCCCCCTTTCATCCTGCTCTTCAATGGTCAGGACCCCTACAGAGCAAGTATTATTTGGGTGGTGGATCATTCTCAACTGACGTGGTGGTGGTGTGTGAGTGTGTGTTGTGCTGGTACGAGGGGAATCGACACAGCAGTGCTGCTGGACTTTTTTAAACACCGCAGTGTCACTGCTGGACTGAGAGTCGTCCACCAGTCAAAAACATCCAGCCAGCAGCGTCGTGTGACCGCTTATGAAGGACTAGAGGATGATCGACACAAACTGTGCAGCAACTATTGTCTCTGGCTTTACATCTACAAGTTGGACTAATAAGGTAGGAGTGTCTGATAGTGTGCACAGTGAGTGGACACAGTGTTTGAAAACTCCAGCAGCACTGCTGTGTCTGATCCACCCAGACCAGCGCTACACACACTAACACACCACCTCCATGTCAGTGTCACTGCAGTGCTGAGAATGATCCACCACCCAAATAACACCTGTTTGTTCCCTGTTTGTTTCCTTCACTCAGCCGCTGATAAACAGTGAAACATGACACAGTCCTCTGCAGCTGCACTGTAGGTGGTTTTTAGCTTATATGCTTTTTAACATTATTTGATTTATTGGAAATCACAAATAATACTGAGTCAATATCTTTTGGTAATAAGCTTTTTTACCTTGTCTTTTGAAAGTTGTTAAAGCTCTGGAATTCAGCTTTAGATGCCTTTAGCCAACCATGAAAAGTATCATAATTTTATAACTTAACAACCATTAATATGTAGTATTATTGATCAAGGCGCTCAAAAGCATATAAAACAAATTATAAACAAAAGAACGTTTTATTTCAGTTTTTTTATTTCAGTTTTGGGCTAAGTGCGTCCTGAATTTCAGTTTCGGTCCAAAATCTTTGTTTTGGTGCCAATCAGAATGATTTTCCTAAAGTCCAGACTGCTGATTGGCTGTCTAAATTCCATTCTGTATGCATATTATTAATGTCAGCACTTCTTGATTAGCAGCTCCTACTCATTTATGGTTTAAGCCAATCCCACTCTGAATTTGTAATATAAAGAAGGTATCAGAAAAAAGTGTCCTCCAGGAATCTATATTCAAGTAAAAGTAACGGTATTCATATCGATATCAGGAATTTTTTAGAGATACCCCAGCACTAGTTCTAAGGTGGCAAGCTAATTACATCTTAAACCCATGATAATGAGTTTCTGTGATAAAAGAAATACGATATAATGTGCAGGTCTAACAGAAACCCCACGCTTTTGTTAACTCATGGCCAGCGCAAAGAAAAGCAGAAAGCATATCACACTGCAGGAAAAACTCTGTGTAGTTACTTTGTAGATTTCTTTATTCATTGCTGTTTAATACCATGCTCTAGGCCACTGAAACTTGCCATTTTGAAACACATCTGTAAGGCTGACTGCTTTTACCAAACCAGCAGGTAATAGAATATCACTCAATGAGAAGTGTATCGTCTGTTGATAAAGGATTGTAGAGGGTCAATATGATTGTAGAGGGTCATGATTCTCTCTTTTATTGGATTGCCCCGTTTTAATTGAATTCAGTGGAGCCTTATCGCTGTCCGATTCGGATTCTGCTGAAGACCCGTTACCTGAGTTAGGAGATTTATATTTTATTCTTTCATATACCCTGTTATTCTCAAAGCTCTGTACATCTCTGCTTTACATTTGAATCGTGGACGATAACTACATGTTTCCACTTTTTAAGAACGCAGTCATCTTGCTTTCAGAAGTTTCAATAGAAAACTGTCATCGTTTCCCAACGGAGGACAAGTCGTCTCTTTCTTTGAGAGGATTAATAGAAAGATTTGCAATGCATTGTCATTTACCATTTAGGCTACATTAGGAGGCAGATTGTATTTGCAAATCTACGGAGGATAGTGGCAACGCTTTGTGCTGATAGATTGAGATTGGGTTGTGTGCCTTTGGTGTCGATCCTGATTTAGCGTTTAATGGCTGTGCAGTATGAATGGACGAGTGAATGGCTATTTTGAATGATGGATAATAAAAGTAATAAGCTCTCTGTAATTGCAGTTTTCTCTGAGGCAGTTTGGCGTATTCTTTGTTGAGTTTCGCTGGTCTAATGACCTTGATTGTTGATTGCCATCTGCAGCAGTCGTGGCTGGATTTGATAGTAATTGAAAAGTGACTTTCTTTTTTTATTAAAAGTGCCTTATTGTGATTCTTGAAATGTCTCACCCATATCAGTCAAGCTTAGCATTGTCAGTCTCTACATATCTGTGTGGATGACTCTGATGCTGAGGGGGCGTCCAAATCAGGTCATGATGGACCACAGCTCTGCAATCAAACACACCTGCTTCAACTCATCAGCTAATTATCGCGCCGTTTGTGAGTGGCATTAAGCACATTAGTGCAGGAAAAACACTAAAGCTGAAGTGTTGTGGTGCTCCAGGTAGGTATTTCCTAAAGTAAGGTTTTTCAGTCAGACCAGGGGTCGGCAGCATGCGGCTCGGGAGCCCTTTTACTGGCCTGTTGTGGCTCCAAAGCTGCATTAGATTTTTGGTAAAAATAAAATAATCCTCTGCAGTAAAATAAAGCTCTGCTGATTGTTCTAACACAGTTTTAACAATAAATGGTCTTAAACACTGGAGTTAATGTAGCCTATATCTGCTAATATACCAACCTTTAACCCTGAAGATCGGTGCACAGACTGCTGGTCACCATAGCAAC